AAAGAATTTGAGGATCATATTGCTTCAAATGATAAAATTAATTTGATATTTAAATGTTCATTATTAATAATACACATATAATATACATAATGTCATATATAATTTTTTAATTCATCATCATTAAAATTTTGCTATGTTAAAATACATACTCTCCCTCTTCGCACTATTTCTTTAAAACTTAATGTAAATATATAATTAAAATATAATTGGTTTAAATTTAAATATAAATTAAATATAACTGATATAATTTTTTATATATTATATCTTTTGGATGATTTAAGAAAAATAAATTGTACAAAATATGAGTATCGTGTTAAAATATATAATTAATAATTGACAATGTCTTTAAAAAAATTAAATGAAATAGTGCAAAAAGGTATTAAAGTATTGTATGAATGTATATATATCCATTTAATAATTAATGCAAAAATATATAATGTTATAAGTGATAATAACTTATAATTTTTATTGATCCTATTACATATAAAATTTAGAATCCATTATATCCTTTTGAATTTGCTGCATGATTTCAGGCTGAAATTCATATATATATATAATCTAACGATATATCATATTAGTAACAAGATATTTTATTTTTCATTTAATATTACCTCTGGCATATTTCCGCTTAGTAAACGACGCATTTCAGTATTTTGTTTTCGTAATGCTTTTATCTCAGCATTTAATTTATGCCTTTCTTTCAACACTTTATAATACTGTTTAAGACCAACCAACAAATTATCCCATAATTTTTCTTTGTCTTTCGAAAACATATTTCGATATCGTTCCCAAAATTCTATTATATCATTTTCCGTTATATTACGAGATACTGTTATTTTCTCTTTTATTACATCTTTATCCAACGAAATTTCTTTCTTAACGAATTCACATCTTTCCACAAATTCTTTTATTGCATTTAAAACAAATTCAGTCTCAATTGCCAATAAATGACCTTTATCGCATGTTAATAATCTTTTTGATTCACCATAAGCTACAAAAATAAAAATTAATAAATAATCATAATAATATTATAATAACCGATATTTTCTTACTGTATAAAATAATTTATCTTATCTTGATAATTATTGCATTGTTTTTAAAAGATATTAAGTTTCCTTTAATAAATAAGAATAATTAAAATAGAGTTATATTCGATTACAATTTAATATTATTATAATAATATTAATATAAAGTTAATAAATAATAAGAGAAAAAAATTGATTTGTTATTTTTTGACAGATTGGTTAATACATTACTGTTACGTACCATCAGTAATTTCAATAATGCCTTCGGAAATACAAGTCGATGCAATATATGTTTCAACAGGTGTTGAATCAATCGAAGAAGATTCTTCTTCTGATATACTTTCCTTCATCTGACTCTCAGTCTCATGTTTATCGTCAGTTTTTGATTCATCATAAAGTGCCGCTTTCACAGCTCCTATTAACTTAATTTGTTCCGTATCGAAATCGTTTTCACAAGCGTCGGGAAGAGTGCTTCTAAAATATTTATTTTTCATATTTTTATTATATTTTTCAAATAAAAATTATACTTTTTTTTTTTTTTTTTTTTTTAATCAAGGATATTTTTACATACAAAGACGAACTTTCTGTAATTTCTTCGCTAGGAATTTTTACAATTTTAATTGTGCAAGTGGGACAATGCGCGTATGGTAAGAAAAAATTTAATAAAAATTGAAGTTCTTGTTCATTCGTTATTTTTAACGCCTATAAATTCAATATATCAATATATCATATTCAACTTGTAAATACAATAAATACAATTATTAATACGAAACTAACCTCGAATACTTTATCCAATCGAATCAATAAATTATTCTCTTCCGTATATTCAGAAAGTAAGATTTTCAATGTGTCTTCAATGAGATAATCACATTGATTAGAAATCAATTTAAAAATATGATTCAATAAGCGTCTTTCTAAATTTATTTCTTCTAAGGTAGTTGGTGGTTTATATAATTTAGCGATCGTTCTTCTTTTCTTGGCTTCCTCTTGTTCTTGAAAATATGAGAGAAAATTTTTATTTGTTGAATTTTTACTTGTTTCTATTATAAACGATATAAATCATTTTTTTTTTTTTTTTTTTAAATAAATTTTACCTGTTTTTAAGGCACACATCGCGCCACAATACGAAGGCAAATCTTCTTTTTTCAATAACTCCTCTTCCGGTGGTTGCCATTCCAGTAATAACAATTGTTCGTGTATAATTCTATCTGCCGTTAAAATCTAAAATATATAATCGTAAAAAATTTTAACTATAAAAACTATTTCATTTTAATAATACATTACAAAATACCTTATCGATTAATTCATTTGCAGTTTTAATATTCATATCCCAAACTTGCATGTACTTCTTATCATTGATGATCGCAAGATAGTTAGATTTCTTCTTCAATTCCAACACAGATTTTTGCGACTTTAATATTTGATTAGTGAGCTTTTGAATTTCCGCCTTTTTTGATTCTTCCAAATCGGAATGAGTTTTTTTTAAATTGTTAATAATATCTTGAAGTCTATTATAAAATGTAAATAATAAAATAATAAAATTTTCCAACAAGATGTTCGTAATTAATTATTTTTCTTCATATTTTATTATTATTAAAAAAAAACGAATGATTTATAATTTTTAAAATAATGATTTATATAAGAAAAATAATTAATATACACACTTGTTGATTTTTCTTTTTTGCTGATTTTTCACAATAGTATTTTCTTCGTCTCGCCGCTTCAACACTGCAAAATTGTAATCCAATTTCTCAACATTCATTATACACAAAGCTTTCATATTTTGCACTTCCTGTTGAAGATTTTGTATTTCCAACTCGTACATGATCTTTTGCTTCCTAAATTTCTCTTGATGTTCTATTATTACTTTCTCCATCTCTATCTCATATTCTTTCATTATTTCCTTTCTTTTCTCCTTCTCTTCAAAAGTATCCTCTCGAAGCTTCTTAAACAGCGCATTCCATTTTTCCATAGAAATTTCCATCAACATCTTACGCTCAGATTCGATAACAGTTTCGATCAGTTCCATTTCGTGGCGATAAGCTTTAGTCATCGTTTTCACCTTTTTGACAAAATATATATTATTTTTTTCAGAAATTTTTTATTTTTTTTTTAATATTCGTATAATAAATAAATAAATATTTAAGAAATTGTTTAAGAATTGTTTTTCTTTTTTTTTTTTTTGCAGTTAAAAATACACTCACTTGACTTTCCATTCTTTCGATGAGTAAATTAATATCTTCGTTTTGTTTCTTCACGTCTTCAGTGAACATTAAATCGGCATTCTGCAACTCTTGCTTCAATAGAGCGATGAAATCGTCCTTTTTCTTTAGAATTTCGAGACCCCTGGCATTTTGAAGTTCTATTTCATCATGAATATCCAACGGATGTTTCAAGGCAAGTATATCAGGCCATTTTTTCGTAATTTCATCGTATTTCTCCATGTATATTTTGTTCTCTTCCTCGAGGATCTCCAATAATTTCTGCCTCTTCTCTTCCACTTCCTTTCGTCTTTCCAATTCCTTGGCATCGTTTGCGATTTTAACACCAACGATCTAAAAATTTTATTAAAAGCTTTTTTTATTTAAAAATTTCTATTCGCTAATGACATTAATAATATCCACTGATAATTAATATCAAAAATAATAATATCATTAATTAATTCGTGTATTATTCAGTAAGTTATTAATTTCAAACTTTGTTACTGTTAGAAGAGTTAAATTCACATAAAATAAATTAAATTAATTGCATATATTTCAAATGCCAGTTAAATTAATGTAATATAAATTATATGGTAAAACATATTTTATGTAATTAAATTTAAACCATGTTTTTTTTTTTTCAATAATTAATAATTTAAATTATACGTACCACTTCATCCCCTTCTACAGTTAATTTTTCCAAAGCTTCTATACTATCAAAAATTTGCTTTTCTATGTCAGTTATTTCTTCAATTTCTTGATCTTGAGCTTTTATCTGTCTAACATCAAAAAAATTATTAATTCAAATTTAAGTCATAAAAATATATTAAATTTATAATATCCAATCTTTCTTACTTATCTCGTTCTTCTATATGTCGTTGTATACGAAGTCTACGTGCCAACTTCCGCTCGATTGGATCAGTTGATAAAATGGATGGTTCTTCTATGATCTGTGAAATATCTGATTTACCAAAGATTGACATATTATTTTTGACTTATACGCATAAATATATAGATAAAAATATATATATATATAATTAAGATTAAAATTAAAAATTTAATATTTATGTGTTAATTTAACACATATGAATGTTTAAAACTAGTATACTATGTGAAAGGTTAGATATCAAAGCTAAAAATGATAATGAGAAACAACAATTATGTATTTTCTGTAATATAAAATAAACAATTTTGTTTGTTCGATATAGAATTATTGTTTGTACTTACTGTTGGTAAGTAATCAATTCTTAATGTTAATATTACCGACAGATGGCTCTAAATGTAAGAAAAATAATAATTATTAAAATTTCTTCATTCAAAAGCTGTCGCCACTGTCTACATAGTTGTGTAATATTGATAATACTTTTCAGCTTAGTTTACAATTATAAAAAAATATGCTATATGGAAAATTATATTTTTGAAGCATTTAAAAACATTTATTTAAATTTTACAATATTTATTTCATTAATATATAAAGATATATTATTTATCTATTATTATGATTAATTATTTATATATTACGATTATTTTATAATATATAAAGATTTCAAAATTCTTATTGTTTAATCATTAAAATAATTATAAATAAATTTTAAGATATAAAAAATTAAAAAAACATTTTGATATTTTTAATTGAATTATTGACAAAACTATTATATATGATTATTTATTTATTTAATTTAATGATATTAAATATAATTTCCAATAAAGTTTTGTAAATACATTAATGAAAAATCCACACAATATTTTACGCTTTTAATTAATTGTATATTTATTTAGCAGTAATTACAATCTAGGATTTTGTGTATGGACACTGTACATAGAATATAAATTATCACGTGACTATAAATCAGCGATATAGAATACTCAATAACTGTTTCTTATTCAAAACATTTTCAATACGAAACAGTCATGAAACTTCGTTTTCGACGAAACAGTACGAGTGCAGGAAATCGCTTTCTCTAGCCTCAATGGCGTACCCTGTACAAACGGATGTTTAATATTGTACCAATAGAGCTAATATTATTCAAATAAACCATCATGAACCATTAAAAGAAAATACGACACGTAAAATACAAACGAGCGATAGATCTTGTGAATTCGTAGCCACACATCGACGCCATGAATCTACGACTTTGACGCGATTTTAGCGGAAACAAGATGGAGTAAGGTCAGGTTCGGCTCAATGTATTTTGATGCCCTATCATTTTCAAAATCATAATTCCTGTATTTTGCTTAAACTTTAGAATTAGATGATAATGAAAATAAGTGTATTAGATATATTTTGAAGTTAGATATTTGAAATATAACATAACTCATTATTCTTCAATTTACAGAAAATATTTCAATAAATAAACAAATTACTTATTTTTTTTATCTATATATTTGATATGATTATTAATAATGATATGTTTTTATTACACAAACATAATAACTATTAACAATATAATTATCTGGTTTTTGTAATTTGTTAAATAAAATTATTCCATTTTCTTGTTACATTACATACATCTTATTCCATGATTTTTATATTTTTTTTCTTTCTTTTTCTTTACTTTTGTTATAGAAAAAATAAGATCGTAATATTAACTAATATTAAGATAGAAATAATTTCTTATATTCGTAATATTTTGCGTCCATGGCATTTATGTACAAAGAATTTAGACTGATAAATATTTTATTAGTTTGTGCACGCCATCGAATCGACGCGTTTGTTTGATCGTTATTTCCTTGATTAGAGAGCACGTCACAAAGTTAAGTATTTTTATTTTCGTAATAATCCGATTTTCCATCTTTATTCTTAGTAGAAAGTACTGATGCTCTGGGTAATTGGCTGCCCCTAAACCGGCCCTGGTGAGAGCGGGATAGAAAGAGAAAGAACGTACAACAAAGATGGCGGATAAGTGGGGACGGTGGAGGAGGCATAACGTAGGAGGAAGAGGACGAAGAGATTGCAGAGTAGAAAGAGAAGAGGAGAAAAGAGGACAAGACTACAGGGTGCGAGATTCGTTAAGAGGGGCAAAGGGAAGAGGTGATGGGTATAGAGGGGTAACGAAGAGAAGAGATGAGAAAAGCCAAGAGGAGAGGTAGCGAAAAGAGAGATAGACACGGCTCGAAAGGGACGAGTGCGGCTTGGGGGTTTGGGTTAGCTCGTTCGACCCGTTATCCCTTCTCTCCCGGAGTTCCGAGTTCTCCCTACCTGTCCTTGCTTCGATTCGAACGAGTCCCACCACTCTCTCCCCTCCGGGAGCGTACGAAAAGTTTCCCCTTCCAGAGATACACTTCACCGGCTGGCGGGCGACGATCGCAATTGCAAGCCGCCGCTTTTCGAGGTAGACTCGTTTCGTTCCCCTACTCTCTGCTCCCCACTATGAGGCACACAGCGATACTAGCCAGCGAGCCATACTACGCTCCCGCCACGGTGACGTCACTCTGAGTAGTGTAGTGCAGTGAGAAGGAGCGAAGCCAGCTCCATCCGCGTTACATGGCCCAAGTGAACGAAGCGAGTGCGTTTGAGACGTACATATACAAGCGTGCATTGTAGCGCGATCAAGTTGACGAAAATATCATTAATTTGTTTGATTAATGCACGTTATGTGACACGACAAGTTATTCGATCGCGAGAAAGATAGAAAAATTTACGCTTCGCTTTTGCTGAAAAATATATTCGACGTATAATTCCATTAACGAAATATGAGAGCGGTGATGATAATACAGTGATGTGAAATAATCGACTACACGAGTTATAAGTGAAATAAAAGAAAAAGAAATTGAAGTAAGAAAAAAAGAAAAAAAGTGTGTTCGTGTGCGCGGTAAAAAAGAGTTATACCTTGTAATATTTAGCAGAAAGAAAAGGCAACGATTCGTAAATCGATTGTTCTTTTTTTTAAGTGGGGTTTTCGCGAGAGTTTGAAAGCGCATCTACAGCCTCTTCGTCGGTGTACGACAGAAAAACGAGAGGCGTTCGAAAATTTGCAGGCAAAATCAACGCGAGTGTGAATATGCTTGGCAAATATGCGTTGGGATGTATCGCCCGCGCATTGTGCCCGGTGTGCTTGGTGTGACGTGTGATTAATCGCTTTTCTTCATACGCGATTCAGTGGTATACGATGTGGTGTTCGGCGACGGTCCTGATCCTTCTAGCCGTTGCCATCAGTGGTGTCCACTATCGAGGCTCCTCCTCTTCTTCTTCGTGGTCGTCGTTGTCGTCAGCGTGCGTCGCGACGCAAAAATTTTATTGCGAGAGCTCTGTAGCCACCCTCTTCTGTTGGCCGATCGTTCCACGGCGCTGCCCTGACGACAGCACTCATCGTGCTTGGGGTCACCACCTTCCGGCTAGTGACTAGTGATAATTTGTTTGTTGCCAGTGATTAAATTGGGAGTGTCGAAGTGGGAGGAAGCTCCTTTCTTCGTCGTGGAATACATGTAACGGTTTCTTCGTTTCTTGTCGCGTGTGTGTCGCGAGCTATACATGAGAAAGTTTCTTCTCGTGAATTGAATAAGAAATATCATTTGTGTCATATCGAATCTATTATTTACTTATTGATTTGTCGCGAAACAAGTAAACACCGATTTAAAGAAACCCGGCAAAGAGAAAAGAAGTTTCTTTTAGCCGACCTGCTGGCGGTATTGAATATCGGTGGTGTGGTGAGAGTGTGCCGTGATTAGAGTCGGGCGAAGTTGTGTGTCGTTGTACAGTGCCGCCAAACGATACCACAACATCCGATCCCAAATGAAGAGTTCGGAGCAAAATGGTTAGAGAGACACGTCACTTGTGGGTTGGAAATCTGCCGGAAAACATCCGAGAGGATCGTATACGAGAGCATTTCAAACGGTGAGTGAACTTCTTTTTTCTTTTATATCGTCTTCTTGCCTTCTGACAAAAAGACAATCTTATATAACTATGCATACATATATCAATTCAAACACTATCTTAGTTTATGTTATTAACATTTCTTAGTTAGATTATTTAAAATATTAAAAAATTATTAAAAAAAACTCTATTTATTTTTTTATTTATTTATTCATATACCTATTTCTTTCGATATCAGAGAATATGAACTTTGAGATGTGTGATAAAATTTACCGACTAGAAATATTTCTAATTTGCCTCAGATCGTTAGTTCTAGAATGAATTGATTGAAAAAGAAATATACAAATACATTTAAGAGCAGAAAATAGAATATTTTTATTATTATCACGATCAATGATAATTTTATCGAAAATTTTACGATTATATGATTATTTCTTCCGCCAGTACCGTCTGCCAGACTTTAAAACTGTCGATTCTAGCCAAGCCGGAATTTCTATAGTATTGTATACAATTTCATGACCGGTAAATGAACAATCATAAAGGAATGTCGCACAAATCTGTTTGTTATTTATTTTTTTTTTTTTCCGTGTCTATAACAAAGGAGTGGTATTATCAGTTTGATAGAATCGGAATTCAGGAACACGCGTAAGGTGTACCTCGATGTTTTTAAGTCTGTACATAGATCGAGGATCCTGCACGCATATGTACACACCCACACTTCACATACACACGCGACAAGGCGTACGTATACGAAGAAGAGCCTTGGCTCTGTCTCTCCTCTCGTAGCGTGAGCGCGCCGTCATTTGTTTTTTCCCCGAAGTAATAATAGCTGAGGACAGCCATTTTGAGAGCTCGCAGCGGCACGAAGTTATTGTTCGACAGCGGTGCTCAAACTGTGGATCTTCAAGCAGGATATATTTTTCATATATCTAGAAAGAAAAAAAAAGTCAAAATAACTTAAAAATTTTACTATATAAGAATTTTTTTATTGTAGTGTTATTGTAATGTTTTAATTATTATGATTATATATTATTATATTATTATATAATATAATATATTATATATTATTATTTATTTAACATTTTTGCTTTATTAAAATCGTAAAAAAGAAATAAGACATTAAAATTTCATAAAACATAATTGGAAAAGAATGCGAATATAATATTTAGATAAATAATTTCTTTTCATTTTATAAAGAATATAAATCTCTGTGAAAAAATAATAATTGTTTAATTTCTATTATATCATTCATTATATCGTAATTACAATTTCGAATATAATTTAATATTTTATTAGGAAAAATTTATTTTGATTATTCTATTTTATCATATAGCAATATTATATGAATTTGAAAACATTTCTTTTATTAATATTTTATTAATTATCAATTTTATTAAGTAAAATGTTTTTTGTGTTTTAATTTGAATATTGTTGTAGCCTATTTTATAAGCTTATCATATATTTTAAAAGAATAAGAATTATATTAAATTTATTAATCACTTCATTTTTTATTTTCTAAGAATTTGTTTTGTAATATAATCATTAAAAATATTTACTTTTGCATATAATTATATGTATTATGTAATATATAAAATAGAAATGCACTTAAAATATAAGTAGAATTGTTAAAGAGCAGAGATCGAAGCAGGAAAACAGAAGTGAAAACTAACGGTGACGTGGCACAGTGGCGCTCAACTTTCGGATATTCAAAAATATAAAATAAAAAGAAAAATGAAAAATATTTTTTCGTAAATTCGATAAAATTCGATAAAATCAATACAATTATTTTAAGTAATTATTTATATTCGAAAAAAACATACGTAATTATTATAAATTTTGTATGAATATATTTTGTTACATGAATAGTTTTTACTATGATAATAATTCAAATATAATATATATTATTTATTTTAATAATTTTTATTGCTATTATTATATTATAATATTTCCTAAGAATTTTAGGAAATTCAAGTTGAAGATCGAAAATCATATCTATTCATAATTACTACTCGTAAGTTAATTACATTATAATTATATTATATGTTTTTTAATACTTGGAACTTATAATTGTTTTAAGATATTATATCAATTTACTTATAAAATACTGAAAAATGTGAAGAATGTTTTTATAAGTTCATAGTACTTTTGAACTCAACAAATCCTATTTTCGGATTTAAAATAATTAAGTATATATTGATTAAAATGATGAAATATACAATCGGTTAACTTTTGGTAATAAAAAAAGAATCTTTTTAAACAGGAAATGGATTTTTTTAACGGGGAATGAATGTTTTCAATATGAATTCTAATCTTTATTGTGTTATTAATTTTTCTTTTATAAACGTATACGTTGCTGAATATTCGCATTGCTCATGGCGCTACATTTTACGTGCCAACTGGCGATACTTCATTTATACACTGGCTTCATTCTTACAGTCATCTACCGTGCGTTATAGCCTTAAAGGTTCGTCCTTAAAATGGCGGGTGGCGTCGTTACGCCGTTGACCTCCCGTTTCTTGAAACGTGTGATAAACAATGAGATATGCTTAGAATATTTATGGAAAAATTGTTTAATACACTTAAAATGATAATTTGATTTAAGATTTTTTTTATATTTTTATGAGAACATATTAAATATTATTTAATGATACAATTTTATCTAATATAGTTTTCTTTATCCATCATATTTTCTTTTTGTTTGTAATTCTTTACTTTATTTATAATATTTGAATTTTTTTACAATTATAAAAAAATGTTCTTAAGATATTATATTTATAAATTTAATATGCGCATAAAGAATATAATTTTAAAGTCTTTTGTTAGAAATATATATAGATTTTTATTTAAAAAATTGCTAAAAACTATGACATTTTAATTATACATATATATAATTTCTTTTTTGTAAAGTTGAATTATTAAAATAATTCAATTATTAATAATAATTATTTAAAAATAAGTATAGATTACAATACTCTTCTGAACTCAAATTTAATATTTTAGAAAAATACAGAAATATTTTAACTATAATCTAATATATATATATACTTAATATAAAAATCGGTTACAATTATGTATTCGTTTTTTTTAATATTTATATATATGAATTCAAAATATATTTTACACATTTAATTGCATGTATATAATAATCACTTTGATTATATATATCTATATAACTATTATTATCTATATTCTTCACATCAAATATTTTAAAAACTTAATTGTAGCTATATTTTACGGAAACGATTTAAAATGATACTTAAAATAAGAAATTTGCTTAGATTTTGATTTTTGGACTATTTCCTTGCATGAAGTTAGGAATCCTGATTCCAAAGATATATTTTGAAACGCACGTCCGGTACATTCTTCTGCGTACGGCATGTGCAACATATTCATGCAATGCGTTTTACCCACTTATCTAAACGTATATTTTCTTCGTATATACACGCATGGCACATGATGTACCTTCGAATTTCTCTGCGTTTGTTACACGCGAGATATAACTGTTTCCATCGAGTGTGCATACGTATATATGGCTGTGCACAAGTAATATGCACACGTATCGCGTTTGCAATTTATGGTCACACGAAGATAAGAGTATGCGCAGCTTTCATACACATATACGTATATATACGCACCCAACTTGCGAGATTGTGTGCACGTTTAGATTATATTTACAATTTATACGTGTGTATGCGTATAGGTGCATGTATAAGTCGATGTATTGACAGAATGCTTGAAAATATACGTGTGTGCGCGCACGCGTACATGTATGTACGTGCGGGTTGCCGGCGTATTTTGTTATATTGATCGCGCGTGGTCGACCACCTCCCCTTCTCCAGCCCAACTCTGCCCCATCTCTCCCCACTCCATACTGTACCGCGCCCCTGCACCCCATGCTCACCCCACCTTTCCTCTGCACCTCGTCCTCGTGTTCCACTCGACGTCACCCATCCGAAAACCTTCGACTCTCCGACAACCTCCAGTCACACGTCTTTTCTTGTGTTAGTGCACCTACAATGATATATGAGCTGTCACAAATATGTATCCGAGTTACATAGCATCTATGTGCACAGGGATCGTTTCCTTGTGTGAGTGTTGTTCTTTATAGCGACAATCGAATTCTTTGTTTCTTTGTCGAACCATACCATAAATGAGTCGTATTTTGTTATATTTCAAAAAAAAAAAATGATTTGTTTTTATGAAATACAAAAGAAATGATTTGGTCGGTAATGTAGGTTTAATAAAATTCTCATAAAATCAAAATATAATGAACATGAAAAACAATATAATGAATATCTTTAAGTTAATTTTAAATTTGGTTAAAGTCTCTTTTTTTATAAAGCTCGAGAAATTCCATTTCATATCAATTCAACGTAAATAAATACACGAGGTCGAAGATCGAACAATTAATCGGAACGTTCTCTTGACGCATTGCGCCACTAGAGATGTGGTTAATTGCATTGTGACTCTTATAAAATAATTGCAAAAATGTTATATTTGATTTTAAAGTATAATCATTGTTCCTACCATATTTTCTTATATTATTTGAGTATTGTACATATTCAAATGTACTATTATGTTTTAATTAAGAAGATAATCAAAATCATATCAATTATTTTCGTTTCTCTTTTTGAATTATAAAAAAAATTTTGATATTTCTTACAATATTCTTTTTAATATTTCTGCATAAAATATCAATAAAAAAATATTGATATTAAGAACATTGTAGATTTCTCTAGATTAGGGAAATTTTGCCGCAAAGAATTTTTTAGATTTCAGATCTCGAGGTCTCCTCGATGAACACCTGCATGAAGAAGCCGATACCGCCAAATTTCTTCATCCGTCGACCCTGTTACGGTATCTGGCAAGCGGCCGGCATTGCGTTTCAAACCGAAACGACTACGTTGCCTTCTCCTTCGTGGTTCACAGCGTGTCTCTCGTTTCGCGACGTTGCCATGCTGTGCCGGTCGTTTACGTGTTGTTGGCCCGACAACATCGCATCTTTTACCCTCTCGCACAGC